AAAAACAAACAAACCAACAAATCAAAACAGAGAGAGACAGAGGAGAGAGCAGGTTTAAGCCTTTTACTGCTGTTAGGGGTTATGACAGGGCCTACCGAGTAGAGGGTGCTGCTGGGTCATAACATCTAGTGTGGCAGCCTGTGGAGCGGCTAATTACCTTAAAGATTGAGGAGCAACCTGATTTTGGGGTTTCGCTAGCTGGATGGGTCAGTATTCTATGGCTAGGCTTAGTGATGGATTGAGGTGATTCAGTCTGGATCCCGTGGCAGCTCACTGTGATCCGCCGTGGAGGCAACTGTCACTTCACCAACTAAGCACTAGAGGGAGTGTTACCTATAGGTGAACAAAAATGGCTAGAATACAGAAATTAACTTTAAATTTGAATTCAAACACTGTTTAAACTAAATTTAAATAAGTGAGTGGTAAAGTGAGAGAGAAGAGGGGGAGAGAACCCTGATTAAAAATTAAAATTAAAATAAAAAAAAAAGGAACAAAACAAACAAATAAACAAAATTATAAAAGTAATAAAAGATAATAAAGTAAAACAAAAATAGTACTGGATATGAAAAACTAATACAAAAACAAGAAATAAAAATAAATGAATAAATAAAATTAAAAATAAAACTGCAGGTAACTAGAATGGCTAGAATGATAATGACTAACGAAGCAGAAGGGAAATTAAAATAAAACAAATTGGAGTACCAAGTCGACCTAGCAGAGAATGCCCACAAGGGGGAGTGGGTGCGCCCACCCAAGGTGAAAACAGGAAGGTAGAAGGAGTTCAAGAAGTGTTAGATACTTAAACAGCCTGCCCTCTAGTGTTAGTTTAAGGTACTGTGCCTTAACTCCAATCGTGCTTAAACTGATAGCGTTTAGTGTGAGACTACTCTCATCCTAACGTAATTTTACTGCAGCTATCACAAGAACACTTGAGACTCAAATCCCAACAGATTCTTACAGTTTGTGCAACTTAACTGCTTAAAGATGTGTAGCAGGATTTCTTCGCTGCCAGTACACAATAACAAATTTTGAACAACATGGTTTCTTCGCTGTTGTTATGCAAATTTCACTTGATCAAGGTTTTAAAAGCTCTATTTACATTTCAATCAGTTTACTGGTTCGCAGTGTTCTTATGATCAGATCTGCATTAGGCAATGCATTGGATAGCTACTCTAATGGTTAAACCTAAGGGAGTGAGATCGTCTAGTTGAATGAAATTGGAATATGCAATGACTTCAATCTAGCGATACTATCAAATAAGGCCTTTAAAAGATGATAAGAAGAGCATCGCTCAAATCAATCTTTATCGCAATGCAAGAAGATTTCTTCGTTCCAACAGACGATTTTGATAATATTAAAAATGTACTGTAAAGAGATTTCTTCGTCTTTAGAGAACAATTTTAATATTATGAACTGCAGTTTACTTTAACAATTAACAGTGACTAAATGTTAGACAAATAGAGGCTGTTAAAATACAGTACTGGAGGTGGCTTTTAACCATCCAATCCAAAAGAGTGAGTTCG